TATACTTTGATATGGAAAGAAAGAAGGAAAAAACCCCAGGATTTTGGTGTCTTGAAGCCCTGAGTTAAATAAGGGGTTTTGGTTTCTGTGGACTTGAGTGGACAAGTCTGTATAAAGTCTTCAGTTTGATGGCAGAAAAGAAGATCAACACACTATTTTTTAAGTGTTCTTGAGGCGTATAATATAAGCAAAAATGCCCAAGTAAACAAGTCTTCTGTATATGGCTTCATTCTAGTCTGCAGTAAAGGGACTCATTTAGCTGAGTTGTATCCATGAGTATTTTGCATAGTTAGCCAAGAGGAACTGAGGGTTTGGGGAGTGGAGATTGTGCTGTGTGTGTGTGAAGTCTGACCAGGAAAAAAAGAGAGGGTGTAGCTCTTTCTTCATGCCTAAAAAGCTAAGAAGGATACAAAATCCATAGCCTTTCTGGCCACACCACTCTCTTAAAATCACAATAGACTTCTGCAGTTTCTATTTCTGTATAGTGATGCTTTCTTGGGTTGAGAATGTAACACAGTACCTTGTAGCAATCTGAAAAAAGAGCTAGGTTTTTCTGTAAGTTGGCAGGCGGCTCCTGCTGCTAGGTGGCTTGTTGTGTCGGTACCTGAGGCCGGAATCAGACATTGCTGCTTTAATGAATCACTGAGAGGTGCTGGACTTGCCCTCCTACATCCATGCTTTGGAATCCAACTGGAAGCATTGCACAGCCCTGCTAATTGACCCCTGATGTAAGCACTGTAATAACCTCATTGTTTTATCACATTTTTATTTATTTGATTCATCAAGTTGATGTTACCCTCTCTGCTCCCTCCAAAATTGGCATTTATTTCCACAAGCCTAAGGAAGTTTAGGATGAACTGGAACAACTGGACAAACGAAGGGGTGGTCCTAGGCTACGAGCTAGCAATTGGGGTCCTAGCAAATCATATGGTTGACACCCACAAAAATGTCTGCATTTCTTTCAAAACTTGAAATGGCAGAGGGTGCTGCGGGTGGTTTTGTGGGTTTCTCTCACTTATTTTTCCTTCACTCTGAAGGCTTCCTGGCCAGTGTGAAAAAGCCGCTTGGGAGGAGGCCCCTCACATTATCTTTACTTGGGATGCAACTTACAGAGATAGAGAGGTGATTTCACATTGAAACACAAGACATTCTCCCATACCCACAGTGACTTTACAAGATAACATCTGTTTTCACACAACACAATAATCTGACTTAGTTATGCAGTCAACCTACTCTTAGACCCAAACTAAACCCTCTTCAACATTTGCCTAGGATACCTATAGTTGTCGGCTGCCAGTGGAAGGAAGGAAGTATTTACTTCGCATAACAACAGACTTGGTTACTTGAATCATCAGAAAGATCCAGCAGGTGTAAGAATTCCACCCTCTGCTCATGGACTCTTTTACTCAACTGAATGGGAACTGCTAGAGAAAAGGGAGACTATTTCAGGGTGCGTTAGACTAGCCTGTCTCCTTTCTCCTCCCTGCCTGCGATACAATTGCTCTGAGAAAGGACCCTAAGAGTGAGGGACGAGGACAAGAGTGGAAGAAGGAAACCTAGTTGAAAAACTAGTTCAGCCATGTGACATGCACCCTGCCTATGAAACTGGGCTGAGCAATCAAGTTACAAAGAATTGCTGGAGTGAGAAAGAAATACTGAGAATGTTCTTCGTGGAGTCAAGTATCGAACCTGGGTGGTGGTGGGCAATGGATAGGAGGTGGGGGGAGGATGCATTCAAGACATTGAGTGGGAAAGGTGTTATTCAGCCACATCTCCCCAAGCTCTGCCTTGAGGGTGGAGCCCATTTCTGTGGACTACAGATGACCCCCCCCCCAGCCTTGTACAGGCCCTTGTGAAAGGGGAATATGCAAAAACAGAAGACAATTAACAACAGGTACTGTACATACACTAATTATCAGCAGACCAGTGAGATGAAAGTGGTAAAAATGGCAGCTCTGGAAGGAAAGAAAGTCAGTGTTTGATAATGTGGTTCTTTGCTCAAGAACCACAGGAAGCAGGTGATGAGGAAACTCTGGAAGCCAACTGTATCACTCAGGGTGCCTCGGAGCCTAGAAATAACATTGAGCTCCTGCTATTATCCAAGAAACAGCTCATTGACTTGTGTAATGAGTGTGTGCAGAAAGGGTAATGAGGAAACCTCAGGGCCAAACTGACTTGGTGTTTAGTAATAAAGTGAAAGGAGGTCAAGAATACAACAAAATAAGTGAGGACTAGCTCTAGAAATGATTGAGGAGCACTGTTTGAAAAGAATAAGATGGGAGCTGCTGAAGTTACTGTGTGAAGCTATTCAGCAGTTGTTACAAAGGTAGAGGAAGAGAGCAGGACATTTATTTATTTATTATTTATTGTTAGGGCATTTTGTTACTTGGGACCAATGGTTACACTTGGAAGAAGGAATCCTTTAAGGTCAGCTATCTCAGGAACCTTGCCACATGGGAGCTGAAGTTATGATAAAACATGCTACAATGTTTGGATGTTTTTCTTCTGTACCAAGCCCAATGTTTTCGTATATTTTACTGCAGGGAGAGATTGTTTTAGTGCTGGCAATCCTTTCCTAGGGAATCTGGCTTGGTAACTATACTGATGTCATGTAGGCCACAGATGAAGGTAATTCAACAAGTACTTTTGTGCTTTTAGCATTTTTATCATCTTAAGTCTCTTATTCAAAAGATGGAACTGAGTTCAAACTATCACGAGGACACTTCCACACCTCCTGTTTCTACCCCCTAGTCCCTCAAAAACAGTTTTAAATCATCTACTTTTCTCCTGACTCTGGAATTTTGAGAAGTTGTGTTGTTTCTCTCCCCACAAGAGGACACTTCTACACCACTCATGTTTCTACCTCCAAATCTCTCATAAAGCTGTTTGAATTTGATCCCTGATTATTCACCCTGAAATGCAGAGAACCCCAAACTTCCAGCCTTAGCAATATTTCATTTAAAAACTCATGGGGCTTCTGAAGATGAAATCATAGCATGTTTTTTTTTTAATAAAATTTTTTATTCTTTACAACAAACACAAAACATACACAAACAAACAAAAACATACAAAAGCATTAAAAGAAAAATCTTTCATTTTATACCGTGTGTCAACCAGTTACCAACTCGTTGGTGCCCCTTTCATAATCTTAAATTCTCATATCATCTATTCAAAATATACTTGTATACTTATCAATTAACATTTATTAATCATTCATAGCTAGTCTATAGAATCATTTATTACAAAAAAATTTTCATAATCTTAAATTCTCATATCATCTATTCAAAATATACTTGTATACTTATCAATTAACATTTATTAATCATTCATAGCTAGTCTATAGAATCATTTATTACAAAAAAATTTAAATTTCAATAGGATTAGTAGTACATTTTTATCCATCGATTATATGTGTATATATATAATAATTAATATCAAATTTCTATTATAAAATTTCCTAATCCATTACATTAGGTGAGAAAAAGATTATACAAGATTATAATGGAGAATCGTACTAAGAGAATGCATAAAAAGAAGGTGAGAAAAAGATTATACAAGATTATAATGGAGAATCGTACTAAGAGAATGCATAAAAAGAAGGTGAGAAAAAGATTATACAAGATTATAATGGAGAATCGTACTAAGAGAATGCATAAAAAGAAGGTGAGAAAAAGATTATACAAGATTATAATGGAGAATCGTACTAAGAGAATGCATAAAAAGAAGGAATTTCTGCAGCTCTTCTTCCAGTTTTTTATAGTCATCCTCGATAGTTTAAAAATCTTTTTCTGCATTGTGTTTCTCGTATAGTCTATTATCTTGTATAAACCTTCATTAAGTCAAAGGATTCTTTATCTTTGTTCTTGCCAAGAGAAAGAAGGAAAAAAAAAAAGAAAAAGAAAAAAAAGGAAGAGGAGGGGAAAGGCTAGGTCTCTTTAAAAATCCAACTGGGGGAGGGATAGAGAGCAAAGCAGAGCTTCTAGCAGAAAGAAGAGCTACTGCCACTAATCAAGGCTCTTGTGACTAACTCAAACTTTCCATCTTGAATTATTTTCAAAGTCGCTTTCAACTCCACTTTCTTGTTTATAGTTAAACGGATGGCACCTGTATAAACATGCACATCCCACTATCTTTTTAGAAAGCCCAGGGTCCTTGAGCATACGTCACAATGAAAAAAAAGGCACTATATCGAGGATGACTATAAAAAACTGGAAGAAGAGCTGCAGAAATTCCCGCAAAAAAAAAAAAAAGAAAAAAAGATATTAAAGCTAAAATGGACTTAATTAAACATAAAATGGGATCAATGGAAAAGGAAGAAATAGCACAAGAAATCAGAAACATTAAACAGAATTATTTTGAGGCTTATAAACTGAGAATCAAAAGGGTTAATCAACTGATAAATGAAGAGGGACAGACTTGTTCTTGGTTCTGAGGATGAGAAAAAGATTATACAAGATTATAATGGAAAATCGTACTAAGAGAATGCATAAAAAGAAGAAGTAAAACAAAATTGAAAAAAACTACTCCAGATGCTTAAAGAAAAAACGAGGGGAATACAACGATGGAACTGACAGAAGCTTCAAAAAGCAGAATGCTTGAAAGGACATTTA